AGTAATGCAAGATTTCACCCCTTGAGGGACAAAAGTGGATGAATTAACTTTAACTGAAACTGTTGTGTTCACACATTATGCACTTAAGTAATTTGAGCTGATTAATCTCAGTTATCTGTGCCTTGATGAACAAGGCTTTAAATGCTTACTTAGAGCTGTTGTTTACATCTGTAGCTGCTGGTAAAAATAGCATCAATACGAGCAGCCGTGCCATCCATCAAACAATATTGGAAATGGTGGCGTGAAGTGCAATTTCCATCCCTTTATTTCTTTATGCTCATGACGTACAGACATAATTGCCAAAAGTCATAATGACAATGATAGAGGGGCAATTTTATTTTGGCTATAAATATTGCTCATAATGGGACCATTGCTTCCTCTCAGGTTGTTATCAGTTCCATTAGAGCCTAATGGACTCATTCATGATGTGATTATGGGGCGCTTCTTACACATAAAGCTCTTAAACCTCTTTCTCTGAGATAAACTGGCCTAATTTGACTCTTTGTTGATAAAGTGGGCTGAGTTTGTTCTGTTGTGTTGGTTGATCATTAATTGCAAATTTGCTTGATATCTGGTCCCTGGAGAAATGTCAGTGATTGCTGTCATTGTGAGGTAATACCGTAAGCAGTGTGTTGAATGCATTATTGTTCATTACCACTCCAGTGATAGTTTGTACGTTGACTGATTAACAAATTTCTCATTGTAACTCATCAAGTGAACATGAGAGCAATAAGATAGCTAATGAAATCTTAACTGATCCAAATAGAGTGACTAGACGTCCTGATTTACTCTAGACAATTCACTAAAAATGTAAATCGATAACAATTAATTGTGCCAACCAACAGCATTGTTTGTGCGCACACACTGTGTGTGTTGTTTTAGCACTAATTCATATGTTGTAGGTTAGTTCACATTTGTAAAAAATCATTCACAGTAAACTCAGTTTATTGGAACTTTTTCAATATTAGTCCCTTGTGGAAAAGAACTGTCAGGTGTGGGGGTGGTGAAAGTAGCGAGGACTCAGGTGCAGAGTTGATGAACTTTAATTTAATAAAAAACAAGAAAAAAACGCAACAAAAACTACCCCGAGGGGGAAACAAGAGACTAGACTTGGCTTTGACTTGACACAAGAGGTAACATCAAACAACGATCCAGCACAGGACTGAAAACACTGGGAGAATAAATAAAGCAGCAAACAAAGCAGGTAACAAGGGAGGACAGGTGGGGCAAATGAACCAATAATCAGGTAACAAGATGGGCAGGGTTCGACAGGAGAGCACATGACACAAGGAAACACATGACAAGCCATGTGCTCACAACAAACAGGACTATGGGTGCTTCTCAATATCCCTCCTCGTCTCCTCGCTCCTCCGTCCTCCATCCTATGACCCGGAAACCAATCGAGCTCAGCCATCTTGAAGGACATCTCAATTCTCTAATTGCACCGCGAGGAGGCGAGGATCGAGGAGTGAGGAGGCTTCCAGAGGAGTCATGAGCGAGGATACACAGGTGTACCCTTTGCGGAAGAGTTTTATCGACTAAACATGACGCACGTATCAATTCTCCTCCCCCTTCACATCTGTCACAATCATTTGAATTTATACTTTACTTTTGTAGTTTACATAAACCACACAACTCACATATTTCAACAAGGTATCTTGCTTTATTATTATTTCTAATGAATTTCTTAAAATAAACAAACTTTAACAACATAAGGGCAGATCCTTTGAGCACTGCTGATGACGCAGTGGAGTGACGCTCGAGTGATCAAGTGTTCCAATGTATAAAAAAGCTTTCATTCAATTCCTCCGTCCTCGTTTTTTTTCCTTGCAGCCTTCCCTCGCGTCCTACAGGGGGTGGAGCTGAGACGCGAGGAAAGGAAGCGAGGAAAGGAAACAAGGATGCACAAATAAGAAATGAGAAGCACCCTAGAACACAAGCACATGACCAGTAAAACAAATCACCAGACATGTGCTCACACAAAACGAGACATGAGCAGGCAGCTAATAGGCTTGTTCAACTTCATGCAGCTCTGTGCAGTCCGATCGGCGGCTGACTTGAAGCAGTGCATGCCGGTTAGAAATTTTGTCCGACTTGATCCAGCGTATAAAAAAATGTACTTCTTTTTCACAAGGGCTGTATCTATAAGTACAACATCCCTTGCCAAATGAGAACTTTAATACTTAACCGTTTGCGTTTCAACAAAAATAATACTTGGAACGATACTGATGGTAAAATGATGAGTAAATGGTGACAACATTCCTATAAATATCATTAGAGGCTCACTGAATAGTGATTTTTATCTGAAATCTCATCTGTCTGGGGTGCATTTTAGTGACAGACCATGAAACAAAGGACACTTAAAGACTCACATCTCAACTGCACTGCAGACACTTCGCTACAGTACTAACAGTGTTTTCTGTCATAAATCCAGTGGGCCTACCTTCACACATGCACACCTTCTCTACATTAGAGCTGGTTCTCTCAACCTGAGAGCATTGATTTATGTGTAGTTATGTCATTGTGCTGTGGGGTGTTACCTCTGTGTGACCAAAAGGCAGGACCCCATCTCTTGTTCCCTCTCTTTCTGTTTTTTCTGTCTCTCTCCATCTCACACTCTCTCCATCTGCCCGTTCTCCTTTGTGCACAATTGCCCCGGAACAAAGAACTCAGTCACTTTCAATTTTACACCCAGTGATGTACAGTGTATATTTTTGTCCAGTATGGCTAGCAATGCATCCCATTGCACATATTTAAAGTGCTCAGTGCTCAAATGGTCGATAAAGTTATGTCAAATATCTGAGCTGAATGTGCTATTATTCAATAATAATAATTATTCAACAATAATTCCTAACCCTATATAGCTAGCTATAAACATGTTTAACTAACTTAAACCTGGTCAGCAGGACTCTCCAAGACAGTGATGGACCTTAAAGAAAACTGACATTACACAGTTAATGGCCACTATACTGAAAATGCAACATGTCACTTTTAGGTGTATTTAATATTGTAATGACCCAGCCAGCGCTAGCAGCTGGGGGCATTATGGGTAATTGTTTGTTGGGAGTTGATTTATGCGTTATTAAAACAATATGGTTGGGTTTTTGTGTTAGTACATCAGTGATCTTATAGTTCCTTACTCTCCTTTTAGAGTTCTCAGGTCCTCCGATCAACGACTTTTAAAGGTACCTCGTTGTAATTTAAAATCAAAAGGAGATTGTGCTTTTTCCGTGGTAGGGGTCCCGAACTTTGGAATAGTCTCCCATTCCATGTGAGGTCAGCTCCATCGATTACAACTTTTAAGTCTTATTTAAAAACGTATTTATTTAATAATGTATGTCTGTTTTGTTGTATGACTTTCATGTTATTATTCTGTAAAGCACTTTGGGGCAACATCTGAAGTTTAAAAAAAATGTGCTATATAAATAAAGTTGCTTGCTTGCTTGCTTAGTAAAGTTATGTGTGTTTATGTTCAAGTTAGTTCGGGTTTATTCTGCTTTGTTATGTAATGTGTCTCTCACCATCATGGAGAGAGATGTGTAAGGGAGGGACTTGGTGATGGGGCCATACCTGTTTAGGTAGAGGAGAATGATGACAGTTCTGCCTTATGCTGTTTGCTTTACCTATGCTCCACACGCAGAGACACTTATGGTCGCGTGGTGTATGGTACACGAGTGCTCTTATCTCGCGCTAGCAATTAGCTTAGTAAAAGTTAGCTCTGGTCAGTCCCATGTTCTACTAAATAACTGTCAGTTATTACAATATAAATCGGTTAATAATTAATTCAGTTAATTTTAATTGGTTGACAGCCACAGATTCAGGAAGAGATGGTGGATGGTAAAACGGTTCATTGGTTTCACAACACATGCAGAAATATTTCAGGGGGATTATGCAACGCCACCTTTTGTTTCCATGAATGACAAGCACAAAGATATTGCCGCTTAACATTGACGCAGAGCACAGACAAAGCTTCTTATGAAAAGCTGTCACGTTAAATCAACAGTTATAGATTGCTTAACTATGAGTGGAGTACCAGAAAAGGAAGAGACAAAAAAGAAAGGTTTTAAGATTGACAGTTACTGCCCTTTTTTACACTTACAATAAAAGTGATAACATACCGGTAGGCTACTGCTCAAACTGACCCTTTTAAAACGGAAAACGCTGCTGACCTGGCGATGGCCTGTTATTTTATCCTGCCATATTATCAAACTCTTTTCTGATGTATAATTTCATTAACTTACACATGTATGATATTTTCCAGACAACTGAAAGAAAATAAAAATAATGTTCTCTAGTCATGCAACATGCTGCAGAGAGGAGAAAGGTTGAAAGATTCTTATTATGGGCTGGCAAACTTTTATAACATTTATTTGTGAACCCACTTTATATTACGTGTCTTTTCTATGTACTAACATTTAAATGAATAATTTGATACAATGCACTTTTTTTACAATGTACTTTTTTTTAAAAGGCCTGCGTGTAATTACATCTGTAATTAATTTCTGTAATTACATCTAGAATTATACTGTTTATCTTACACTTTAACCCAGTCTTAAACCATAACCATACCACCAAACCTGTTCCCAAACTAACCAGTATCCATACTGGTTTTTTTTTTTTTTCTAATTTAAATTTCCATACACTAACAAGTCTGCCCTTAAACAAATCAGATATGTTAATTACTTCCTCTCCAGTACCATCTGTTATAAAACATACTGTACACACCACATTCAGTCTTTGTTGTGAGCTTCTTCCCTTCTATTTCATTATTCAGACCGGCTGTGAGAACAATGACAAAGTTGTCTCCTTCGACAATATGAATGAATGGGCTTATGCTTTCCCTATGCGAATGATATGTTTGTTTCTTGCCACACTCACTAAACATCTGCGCTACATTGGCATGAGGCATTTTAGTGCAAGAAAAAAAACCTCAAGCCGAATGTGCCAAAACAGCGTTTCAGCGATAAATTTATAAATTAAGTCATTGTCATTAGTGTCTGCTAAAACACATATCTTTTCAATGCAAATTGGGCCTTTTGCAAAACAAAGTGCTACTTGCCAGGTGAATTTAAGCTGTGATATTATTAGCTGCAGAAAGCAGGCCTTAAATGGAATTTTGTTTAAAATTGGGTAACGCTTTATTTCAATGGTCTCGACCGAACGATAAGTAGCTTTGCAACTACATGTCAACTACCAGTCATTAGAGTATTAGTAGACTGTTAAGCCACGTTTCCACCAGAGGAACTTTACGCAGGAACTAGATACTTTGGGGTGGTACTCAGTTTGTTTCGACCCCAGGAACCAGGGTCTAAATGAAGTTCCGGGTAAAAATGTCCCCCTCAGAAAGTCCCTGCTTGCGAAGTAGTACTTGTTCAAATTTCAGGAACTTTCATGGGGTGGGACTTGGCTGAACATGCTGATTGGTTGAGTTCATGCCGCATTTTTATTGGTCAACCACCATGTTGTGGTGTGTGCAGTCCTACGTCACCTGACTAATTTGCCTAATCTTTACGGTCCTTTAGACCGCAGTGGAAAAGGTCTGGGGGGAAAATTTTTCCTGGGACAAATTGTTCAGGGCAATTTCAGAAAAGCGGCTTTAAATAAGGGCTAGATGTTAGGCTTTGGGTTTGTCAAATAAGTTGATGTAGTTGCAAAGTTACTTACAATCAGTAGAATGTCTGTTGGGGGACCGTCAAAATAAAGCGTCAAATTAAGCAGATATTAAGCAGACATACTACTGTAATACTACAGCCCGTTCTCATCCTTTGGCGTCATACATGTGACGCTTTGGACATTTCGTTGAAATCTTACGCACATGGCATCCTTTAGCATCAATATGAGACGCAGATCCCAAGGCGTCATAACCGTACCCTACCCCAGACCTAAACCTACCCATAACAGTGCGTGTTATATTGACGCTAAAGGATGCCATGTGCATAAGATTTCGACGAAATGTCATATGGCGTCACCTATATGACGCCAAAGGATGAGAATGCGTTGAATACTAATGAGAGTATGTAGCAGGGGCGTTTTCTCTGAGGAGGCAAGGAAGGCAGTGCCTCCTCAAAAAATTGGAAGAGAAATAATCCATATAAAAAATATAAAAAATGCAATTGTTACAAAATGTATAGTATATAAATCACTTGTTTTTCAACAGTAACACTGTCCAACAGCGACACCAGCAGGTAAAGTTACAGCGGGACGCAGCGTCTCTCTTGCCTCCCCTGAACCCATTGAGTTTCAACAGACCCCCTAAAGCGTGCAGGGGGGTTTGATGGGGTGGTAATTGTGAATGAATAGGGGAAGGTCACATGAGATGAGGCACCATCGTGCTTTGATTGGATGCATATGATTGGTTATGATTGGATGTAATTGGTTTATGTGATAAATCCCACCTCTTGTTTTCATGCGCGTTCACAAATTGGTCTGAATCAAGCGTGCCGCACAAGCCCTCAAAAGTGAAGCCAAAACGTCTCGATCGCCCCCCGGTGACCGGTCCTAGTATAGCTCATAAGCCCCGCCTCCCCATGTTATTCAACGGGACGTGAGACCAACTAAATAATTAAATTACACTTCACATATCTTTTTTCTAAAGATAGTTTCTGTCATTTACTGTAGTTTCTATCACGTTGATGTAATTTCAAGTGTTTGTTTTTAAAAAAAGTTAGTTTTTAGTTAGTTATTTGATTCTATAAAAACGGTGCTGTGACATCATGATTGACAGCTGTGATTGACAGGTTCTCTGTGTGAAGTAGTCACTGAAGCACCAACGGACTTTTTTTCATAATGTTGACTATGTGGTTAGTAGTTGTATTTACCCAATTTTAACGAGGTACTGCAATCAGCAGACATCATTGTAGAGGAATGGAGCAGACAAGGCCACTTAAGAAAAGGGCAGGGCGTGTGCTTGCGATTGATTCAACGAGCGCGAGGGCGGGGCCTTGATTTCGCGGCTTTACTTCCTGCTCACGACTGCGCATGACTGGTCCCGAAAACGCTACTGCGCAGACTCAAGTTCCAATATGTCAGCGCCATATCGGGACTCTGGCGGCTTCAGTTCTCTCCAATGGAAAGAGCGAAGGGGCTTCGTCCATCTTTTTTTACAGTCTATGGTCTGAATGAACAAAACATCATGCCTTTAATGGGAAGGCTAATTGAAAAGTAAGCACTCACTTAGATATCACCGCTTTATGTCACGTCAAAATCAAACTTGAGATGCCCTGAAAACATGATGACCGTGGGGTTTTTAGTGAGCTATCAGCTTGGTGAAATTAAAGGTAAATTCGTGTCTGTGACCAGTGTTTACTGAGCTTGATGACTGATGATCTGAAAAGAAGTTGACTATAAAAAAGAACAGCTGAACATCAGTTCAAAAATAAAATACTGTTTAAATTGTTACTGCCTTTAGTGATTATTTTGGAATACATTACTGAGATTGGTAAGATTTATACTTGTTTTAAAATAATAATAATAATAATTACATATAATGTAAAAATACAACATCAAAGAGTTACCTAAAATTGTATAGTATTGGTGAAGTATGTCAGCTCACAAAAGTCCAACCAATGTGCAAGATAACACGGGTCACTGCTGGAAAACAACAGCATCTGTGAGCTATAGCTTCAAAGAAGGATAGTTAAATGGAAATAACTTTGCCTTGAAAATGCATTCATTATCTCTGTTTGTGTCCCATCTGTCACTGAAGACAAGTCTACATAGTTTCATTGTGATGCATTTTGTCATCTGGACAACGCGGATCCTTCAGCTGGGTGTGTTGAGCCTGAGGGGAGAAAAACAGAGGCTCAAGAGTTACTCAACAGCTGGAGAAAGAGAGCGTGACAGACAAACAGTTACACAAAACAACACAAGAGTGAAAAAAAGACAGAGCCAGGACAGCATGCGCCTTGCATCTACCAAGCATTAACAAAGGGTTAGTTCAGACAAAAATGAAATCTATTTCATCAGTTGTTCTCCTTCATGTTGTCCAAATCATATATGAGTTAATTTAGTCTGTGAAACAAAAGGAGTTATGTGTAACAGAATCTCTACTTTGCTCCTTTTCATACAATGAAAATGAATGTTGACCTCGGATGTCAAGATTCTCCATTCAAGATGAATTTCAGTCTCTTCTTCTGACAAAGCAATTGTATAACTTGTATTATACTACGTGGCTGTTTAATGCTTGATTCTGATTGGTTGTCGAACGTTCTAATGTATGCAATTGTTTTCAGGGAAACGTACGGCTAAAAGAGTTCCATTCAGGTCTTGGTTGTATTTCAGATCCAAATCACTTCGCCAAATGATTTCAGTTATTTCAAAGGTCTTTACAGTCGTGGCCGCATTACCACCTCGGGTGTGCATTGTTTTTTAATAATTCAACGGTCCGTCATCAATTATTCCTCATAGTCATATGGACCACATTTATGCTTTTTGTTCCTCTTCAGTCGGTCTCTCGACGCCACGACAGACGAATAAGAATCTCGCTAGAGAGGCCAATCTACTTCGAGTGGTCCCCGTCGTGGCGTCTCCGTTCCCTTCTTCAGGGAACGAGGGTTACCATATGTAATCGAGATGTTCTTTTTGGAGCTTGACATATTTTGGTCACCATTTACTTTTATTATGTGGAAGAGAGCAGTGTGAATGTTCCTTAAACATCTGTTTGTTACACAACACCGTTTTCAACTAAAAACGTAAAACTTGTAATGCTTTTTTGCCGTTCAATGAGACGACAGCAGCGTTTTGGGGGCCTGAAAATGCAAACTTTTGAAAACGGGTCTCAAAGTGTAAGTTATTGAAACCGATTCTGTTATAGTCTCCATGTAAACTACAAAAACGCAAATTTCTGAAAACAGTAACATCATGTGTATGCGTATTATGTGTTCAGTCTATTGGTGCATCGTGTGTCTTTACAAAGTGACATCACCAACTACTGGCTTGGCATGAATAATACAGCGTTTTGAATCGTTTTCACAGATCCGTGTGAACGGGGATCATTTGACAACGGTGTCGTTTGTACGCTAAAAATGCAATGGAAAAATGTTTCCATTTTTTCGTACACCGTTGTTGTTGTGTAAAAGTACTCTAAAACTACAAAAACCCTTCATACATGTCACAAATCAAGTAATTCTTCCATAACACTAGCAAAGATTTTCACCCAACAAACACACTCTGTCACTCATAAAACAATGACCTAAAAACACTAACAACAAGTAGCATTACACAATGTTTTCTTTTGTAAAACGTTGTGAAAGACTCTCTGCTGTTTAGAAATTCACTGCAGTATATGTTACATGATCCATGTTTGCCTTACAGTACAAAATGATTCCTACAGCTTCTCATTTTGAATAAACGGTAATGAAATTGAAAGACTAACACTTATGTAGGTGTTCCACAGCATCTAATTGTTTTGATAGTATTTTTTATTTTTTTGATTTGGAATATATTTGAATGTGGTATCCCTGTAAACATGTTCTTATTCAGAGCTTATTCAGTGTTTTATTATGAACTTAACAGTTTCGGTGTTGGTTGTAAAGGGAAAAAATACAATTAATGTGAATTTAAAAGATGTAGTAATTGGATGTATTTTGTTCCACTGGAAAGCAATTGAAAAGTATACATAGTTTAGCCCACATAGATTGTTGTTGTGCTCACTGTGTGAAGAGTTTTAAAAAAGTGACCAAAATATTCAGAAATTGGTCCAAGAAATTGACCACAAAAAATAAAAAAATAAAAAAATAATTTGTCAAAAGTAGCCTACTACGTTACCTTTTTAAGTTGTAAAAATTAATTGGTCCACCTTTAAATTGTAACAAAAAAAAAGGCAATGGCTTCCCGCTATATTCAAATTACACACTTAATATGGATATCTGGTCTCATAGCCTTTGCTCACAAGCTTCTGAATTCCATGAGACTGTTGGATATCCCATGTGTCATTTTATGATTTAGAAGGGTGTCCATGTGCCCTTTGGCTGAACCTGCACTGGTACAGACTCCACTGCAGACTACTGCACGTC